TGTCCTCTACAACAACAGTCAGTCTTTGTTTGACAGCATCTTTATCAGTCACTTGGCGGACAGTTCGGATTTCTCCGTTGTGGAGGCCCACTTCAAAGAGCGCCCTGTCGGTGGCTTTGTGCACTTTATAGGAGAGCCAGGCGTTCTGTCCAGAGTCCACGTCCACGGCCACCACTTTCGTCACCAGATAGCCCACATCTGCTGAACGCGGCACCATTTCGGCCAGCAGCGAGCCGCCCGTCTGTACCGGGTACAGGACCTGAGGGGCGTTGTCGTTCTGGTCCTGGATCAGAATGTGAACTGTGGCCACAGAACTGAGTGGAGGGGATCCGGAGTCTCGGGCAGTAACGTTAAAGTCGAAGGATTTGATTTGTTCATAATCAAATGACTTGACCGCGTGGATGACACCATTTTCTGAATTTACTGAGACAAAAGAAGACACAGCTACTCCATTGACTTCTTTCTCCTCCAGGAAGTAAGACACTCGAGCGTTCTGGCCCCAATCTGCATCACGAGCACTGACAGTAAACACAGAAAAACCAGGAGAGTTGTTCTCCGGCACAGTCTTACTGTATTCCAACAGATGGAATTTGGGCGGGTTGTCATTCACGTCAGATATTTTAACATTGATGTTTTTACTACTCGACAGAGGTGGGGAGCCTTGGTCAGACACTGTTATGGTCACATTATATTCAGGGACATTTTCCCGGTCTAAGAAGTTTTCAGTCAGTATGGTGTAGTAACCTGTAAGAGAAGACTCAATTTTAAAAGGGACGTCATTGTTAATGGAGCACTTGACAACACCATTGCCCTCAGAGTCTTCATCATTCACGTTAAAAACAGCTACGGTTGTCCCTGGGGAAGAATTCTCGGGTATGGACAGAGAATATGACATAATTTCAATGGTGGGGACATTGTCATTCTCATCAAGTATGTTAACAATAACTTTACATGTGTCTGAATAACCACCATGATCACTAGCTTGGACTTTCAATTGAAAGTTTTTTGACTTTTCAAAATCTAGTACACCAGTCAGTTTAATCTCTCCTGTTTTAACATTAACATGAAAAAGCTGCTCTTCCTCTTTGGTCACATGAGGGGTGGAGTAAATGACGTCACCGTTGATTCCTGCATCAGCATCGTTTGCACTAACGCAAGTGATCACCGTCCCTGCAGGTGAATTTTCGGGCACATCGACCTTATAAACAGATTGAGTGCACACTGGCGCGTTGTCATTTGCATCCAGCACAGAGATGTGAATTCTCACCGTCCCTGATCTATGTGGCTCACCACCATCTGAAGCAATCAACATGAGTGTGAGGCTCTCCTCTCTTTCTCGGTCTAAAGGCTTCTGCAAAATCATTTCTATAAAAACCTCACCATCTGGTTGATTGTGTATTTCCAATTCGAAATTATTTGATGGTCTAAGTGTGTATTTCTGAATGTCATGAACACCAACATCGGGATCGGCTGCATTCGCGAGAGAGAAACGAGTACCCACAATCGCATTCTCAGCGATTTTAATGTTAATTTCAGACTGGGGGAATGAGGGACTGTTGTCATTAATGTCGACCACCTCCACTGTTACACGATAAAGCTGGATTGGGTTTTCTAAAATGATGTCGAAATTGAAACTGCAGGGCGTCGTCTTTCCACAAAGCTCCTCTCGGTCGATGCGCTCTTTAACCACAAGCGTGCCTTTGTCTCGCTTTAAATCAACATACTGTCGGCCTCCTTTGGTAATGATTCGAGCTTTACCTGCCACCAGTCTGCCCAAGTCCAAGCCCAAATCTCTCGCAATATTTCCAACAAAAGAGCCTTCCGCCTGCTCCTCCGGTATGGAATAGCGAGCCTGTCCACTCGCCGAGCGCAGCTCACAGAGACAAAGAATCGCAAACAGTGTGCGCCATCGGCTTCTGACGCCACGCATCCACACACAATCCATCGTCATTTAAGAAATAAATATTTCAAAATGTTTCCTTTGGAAAAAAAAACAATCCTCAATCCAATCACATCAAAATATTTATGAAAGTCCACATAAAACGTGCGTCTTAAATGGCAAGCCGACCGTCGTCTTTCTCGGCAACGCAGCTCTGAAAGGAGTCCAAGAGGACGACCACTGCACGCAGACATTTCACACTAATTCACTAACGTGTCACTAGCGGCGCTCAGAGTATTTTCTCAGTAGTGCATTTATTTATCAAAAGCAATCAAATATGATTTAAGATTTTTTTCTTTTTTCTTTTAATCTGATGGGGCCACTAAATATCAAAATTGCAACGCCAGAAAAAAATAAGGTTGTACTTGATGCGAAAGGGATCTGTTTATTTTTTTTTTTTATCTAACCAATGACACTGACAGTAACACATTAAAAATTTGTAGTGCATAAATATTGATCTCCCCATTCCAAAAGTCTGGAGTGTTGGACTAAAAAGGTTACGTGATCTTCAGCTTCTATTAAAAATAATTTAATTAAACAAAGTTAAAATTTCTCATTAGATATATTTGAAAGAAAAAAATAATGATACGTGATTAATTCATATTTTTTTTAAATAAGTATATATATATATATATACACACATCAAGAAAAGTTCATAAAACATGAACAAACGTTAACTGTAATAACAGATGTTTATGCCCTTACGTTGAAAAATATGATAATAGCGTAAATACAACATGTTCCTCCGAACTGCTGTGGAAATTGACTTTCGAGTACGAAAAACACAGTCCAAAAAACGCACGAATGAGGAGGAAGCGGCCCTCCTTCTCGATGAATAGATTCGCAACTGTTATGTTTCTGTCTGTTTACATTTGGTTTTGTTCCCTCATGTGCCCTTTTTTGTCCCCACCTGTTCTCATTATCAGTGTCCCTTGTGTTTAACCAGTCAGCTCCCTCAACCGTTTGTGTCGTGTCCAGGTGTTTCTCGTCGTCTCGTCACTTTGCTTGTATTTAGTTCCCTGAGTTCTGTCAGTCTTTGTTGGGTCATTGTGAGTTCTGAGTATGTAACTGTGTGCTCAGCTCATGTCACATTTTGTTTTAATGTTTCTTTTGTTACTTTGGCTTCCTTGTGATTGATTTCCAGCCATTTGTTTGAGTATTTCGACTTAGTTTTTTTCCATTGTACTCCTGTGTGTATTTTTGTTAAATACATTTTGGTCAATCCACCCTGCTCCTCCCTGCTTTTTGGGGTCCTACTCCACCATCATGCAAAACGTGACAGCAACAGCACAACGACAATGCGCTATCATCGGAGCAGATCCCATAATTCATCATAAAGCTGTTTTTTTTAATTGACAATCATGGTTACCCAACCGCGCGCACACACACACACACACACACACACACACACACACACGATTATGCAATTAACATCATGCTTGGGGAAAAAAGGAAACGTGCACTGAATCTAAAATATGGCATGGGAACAAATAATCACATTATAAAAAATAGAGATACAGTAAAATAATTCATTCACCAACGACATAATAGACTAACAATTTATAGTTCATTCAAAGACGCACATGTTTAAAACAGATGCATGAATTTACAGCACCATGGACAACAAAATGAAAAAAATCCTTCTAAAAATAATGTTTGGATGATCACGTTATATATTGTTGTCAGTGCATTTTGTAAACCAGACACCGACGAAACGACGTAATTAAGTATTTTTGGTTAAAATTATTGTTTGTACAAATTGAAATAAATAATGTAACTTAAAATGAAAAGAAGCTACATGGAAAAAAAAACAGTTGACATGTAGGTCTTGATATGCATGCGAGCTAAAAAGAAAATTAACAAAAAATGATGATTCCGTTTTTGTTTAATTCCTGGAAACTGTAATCAAATAGTCGGGTTACAAAATAAGATAATTCACTCACCAAGGTTGACATCTGTGAGCAGTTTCCTGACAGCTCCTTGTTGACATGCAGCGTGTTAGCATCAGCTCCATCCACACTCACTAAACTTTGACTCATACCTTGCATATTTTTCATGTCACTTTTTCTAGAGTCGGTGGTACTGCACACCTCGTAATTGTACACATGTGGGAGAGTCCCCGTCCCCAAAGTATCTGCGTAACGTGGTGGATAATACGGAATGACAGGCAGGTTGGAGTGGTACAGCACGCGAGACTGTCTCCACCGGTACACTTTGACCGATATGATAAGCAGCAAGCAGGTGATGAAGAGGAAGGAGACCACCGCCAGCGCCAAGACTAAGTAAAAAGTCAGCTGGTCATTGTACTCCTTGTCGTGCATGCTCAAGTCAGTGAACTCTGACAGCACTTGAGGGAAGCTGTCGGCCACCGCCACATTCACAATGTCCGTAGCTGAACGAGAGGGCCGCCCGTTGTCCTCCACGACAACAGTCAGTCTTTGTTTAACAGCATCTTTGTCAGTCACTTGACGGACAGTTCGGATCTCTCCGTTGTGGAGGCCAACTTCGAATAGCGCCCTATCGGTGGCTTTATGCACTTTATAGGAGAGCCAGGAGTTCTGGCCAGAGTCCCCGTCCACGGCTACCACTTTCGTCACCAGATAGCCTACATCTGCCGAACGAGGCACCATTTCGGCCAGCAGCGAGCCGCCCGTCTGCACCGGGTACAGGACCTGAGGGGCGTTGTCGTTCTGGTCCTGGATCAGGATGCGAACGCTCACGTTGCTACTGAGGGGAGGGGAACCGCCATCTTGCGCTCTGACAGTAAATGACAGTTCTTTCATTTGCTCGTAGTCATATGAGCGAGCTGCGCTAATAACTCCGCTTTCTGCATTCACAGACACAAATTCACTAATCGATCTTCCTCCAATTTCACTCTGCTCCAACATGTAGGAGACACGAGCGTTCTGGTTTTCATCTGGGTCTTTGGCACTCACGCTGAGCACAGAAACACCTGGCGAGTTGTTCTCTGCAACGTTTGCACTATAAATGCTGACCGGAAACACGGGGGCGTTGTCATTCACGTCTGACACTTTCAAATTAAAAGTCTGTTTAATGGAAAGGGGAGGCGAGCCTGCGTCTGACGCAATAACCGTGATGTCATATTCCGACACACGTTCACGGTCTAAATCAGCGTCAGTAATTAATGCAAAATAGTTTCTCACGTTGGATTTAATTTTAAATGGAACGCGGCCTTCAATCGCGCACCTCACGTGACCATTTTCACCAGCATCTAAATCTTTCAGATTAATTATTCCAATCGTTGAACCGACGGGAGAGTCTTCCGAAACAGGACTCGTGAAGGACATTACATTGATGACTGGGACATTATCATTTAAATCCATTACTTCTATTTCGACTTTTGCAGATTCACTCAGTCCACCTTGATCTTTTGCTTCGACCATGAATTCAATTATTTTGTCGTTTTCATAGTCTATTCGTTTTGAGACAGATATACATCCTGCCACCTCGTCTAGATGAAACAAATCTGTTATTCCTGCATTTGATTTTGAAAATGAATATGTAACTATTCCATTTGAACCGCTATCAGCATCGGTGGCATTCACAGTCAAAACATGAGTGTTTTTGGGTGCATTTTCAAATAACTTCACTTTATATATGGATTGGTTGAAGACGGGTGCGTTATCATTTATATCGAGAATAATAATTTCGATATTTACAGTGCCAGATCTCTGTGGATTTCCCCCGTCCAGAGCCAACAATTTTAATGAGAGCCGCGGCTGTTCTTCTCTGTCTAAGGCTTTCTGAAGCACCATTTCTGCATATTTTCTGCCTCCCGGACTGACGTGTTGCTTCAAAACAAAATTATCGCTCGGTGTTAAAATGTAACTCTGCAGACCGTTTGCGTCCACGTCAGCATCGTGAGCATTTTCTAAAACAAAACGGGAGCCAAGTGCAGCCAACTCGCTTATTTCAAATTCTAAATGTCTGTTTTCAAAGGTGGGAGCGTTATCATTCACGTCTAACACTTCGATGGTTACCGGATGCAATTCCATGGGGTTTTCCAATAAAATCTCAAAGGTGAAGCTGCACGGCGTCACGTCTCCACACAGCTGCTCTCGATCTATCCTCTCATGGACAACCAGAAGCCCTTTGTCCGCCCTCAGCTCGGCGTACTGGACGTTGTCCCCGGTCACGATGCGGGCGCGCCCAGAACGAAGTCTTTTCAAATCCAAACCGAGATCTTGGGCCACATTTCCGACGAGCGAGCCTTTTTTCATCTCCTCCGGGATCGAGTAGCGGATTTGCGCCTGCGTTCCGTTTAGAAAAAAAACCCAAAAGACAAAGAGGCAGGCCTTGCGTCGCCATGTTCCTCCTCGGCATTGATGAATGTCTTTCGACTCCATGTGAAAGTAAAAATATTCCAAGAATGTAAACTGGTCCAAAAATGACTAACAAGGAGGCGTAATTATTTCGGCCTTATTTATAGCTCAAGCGTTTTACGTTGTTCACATGAAGCTCTCTTGTGCCAAATGGCAGTGACAGAGGAGGGAGCAACACTGCATCACCCAGCACGAAACATCCATTTTACGTGGAACAGCGCCACTTAGAGGCCCACTTATGAAATTTGTCCAGTCAGACTAAAAGGGTCAACATTAAAAAGTCTTTTAATATGGTATGTGTAAGTGTCATTAGTATAGTTTAATGGGAAATGAATAATATTTTTTTCAACTTTAAGGCAAAAAGGACATTTTGTATTTGTTTTATATACATTATGTATTCACATTGTGAAATATTTATTTTGTAAAATTAAGTTTCGTTATTTCGATGTTATCGCTATTATCACGAGACTTGCGCTGTGGTAAGGTGGTTTTTGCCCAGACACATACAGACAAGACGTACGAAGAGCAGCAGCTACTAGGACTGTTCGCTATCTGTTAAAGGTATTTTGTGATTTATTTGGTTGTGTATATGAAACTTAAGGTAAGATCTGACTGTGATCGTTATATTTGTGATGTAGATATCGAAAGTGTATTTTTGTTGCCCAAGACCTCCGAAGTGACAGGCGGCAATGAGATTAGCTTTAGCCCACATTTTGGATTAGCTTCATATATTGTTTCTGCATTGTTTCTGTTGTGAAAGCGCTATATAAATCAGCATGTATTGTATTGTATTGTATTGTATTGTATTGTAAATTGTTGAATGTATTTTATTTTACCAACAGTTTTCACGGTGCTGGTGTAAGAGGGCAACCCTAAAGACACTATTAAACACCCGTCATTTGGAAACCGTGCCCTTTTTTTTTTTACTTTGGAGCTACAGTATGTCCTGTAATAAACACATTAAAACGAATCAAAAATTACAAAAAAAGCTACATTTGTAACTTCCACAAACATCCAATCAACACAGATGCGTGATGTGTGTCATTGTGGGCGTCAGATTCAAATGACATAAATGGTGAGCATTCATATTATTTCTCCAGCTTGAGCGATGGACAGCAAACCCATTGAAATTTGTCCTTCAGCACCATGGAGAGAGACAAACTACACAAGGCGCTCCCTGTTCAGCATATCAGTTGAAGTACCATGAGGCTGCAGTGAATTTTGACAGGAACTATGTACAAATAAAATAATCCTCATTCTTGGTTAGACGTGTAAACAATGATACACCGCAGGTGACTACATATTTTTAATGTCTAATTTCAGTGTATTGAAAACCCCAATTGTCTATTTATAGGACTTTTAAAACCACAATGAGTCTTCAAGAGTCACTGGAACACAAGCACAAAAACACTCATCGCTGCTTAAAACAACGCAAAGGACAAAAGTAATTACAGATGCACAAGCACTAACTGGAGAAGTGAACGAATCCTTGGAGCAGTGGTTTTTTTTCCAAGAAGCTGGATTGAAGCACCATGAGAATTACTTCCAAATTGTAGCCACACAAAAGAAACACCAAGCTTTCTCAAGGTTCACATGTAAAATCTAATTTTTCGAAAAGGATGATCATGAAAAAAGGTGGAGAATCAGCTCAAAACTTCTCTGGCCAAGAAGCAAGAAAAGCGGCTTTGAACAATAACATTTTGGACAAGGACGTCCTCAACCAGAAAATTCACAATAGGGATTCCAGCATGACCATTGCTAAACCAAGGATACAAGGGATGGACCTCAAGAAAAGCCACGTTCCAGGATGGTAACTTTTTTGATTTGTTTATATAATGCTGTTCTCTACACGCGCGCGCACGCGCACACACACACACACACACACACACACACACACACACACACACACACACACACACACACACACACACACACACACACACACACCACACACAAACACACACGACAACAACAAGACTATAATGGGTAAAAATTGCCAAAGATCAATGTATTATGCAAACAATCCTGTATTTCTTCATAAACTTAAACATATTGTAACCTTTTTCATCGGTAATAATGACTTCATGATATCATCTGCAATGAAGAGCCATGCGACCACCCCCATCCACATTTGCAAACTTTCAGAGGTATCAATCACAAAAACACGTTTGAAATATTTCACTCACCAATGTTGACATCTGTGAGCAGTTTCCTGACAGCTTCTTGTTGACATGCAGCGTGTCAGCATCAACTCCATCCACACTCACTAAACTTTGACTCATGGCTTGCATGTTCTTCATGTCACTTTTTCTGGAGTCGGTGGTCCTGCACACCTCGTAATTGTACACATGTGGGAGAGTCCCCGTTCCCAAAGTATCTGAATATCGTGGTGGATAATACGGAATGACGGGCAGGTTGGAGTGGTAGAGGACGCGAGACTGTCTCCACCTGTACACTTTGACCGATATGATAAGCAGCAAGCAAGTGATGAAGAGGAAGGACACCACCGCCAACGCCAAGACTAAGTAAAAAGTCAGCTGGTCATTGTACTCCTTGTCGTGCATGCTCAAGTCAGTGAACTCTGACAGCACTTGAGGGAAGCTGTCACAGGACCTGAGGGGCGTTGTCGTTCTGGTCCTGGATCAGAATGCGAACTGTGGCCACAGAACTGAGTGGAGGGGATCCGGAGTCGCGGGCAGTAATGTTAATGTCAAAGGATTTGATTTGTTCAAAGTCAAATGATTTGACCGCGTGGATGACACCATTCTCTGAATTTATTGAGACAAAAGAAGACACAGCTACTCCATTAACGTCTTTCTCCTCCAGGAAGTAAGACACTCGAGCGTTCTGGCCCCAATCTGCATCACTAGCACTGACAGTAAACACGGAAAAACCAGGAGCGTTGTTCTCCGGCACAGTCTTACTGTATTCCAACAGATGGAATTTGGGCGGGTTGTCATTCACGTCAGATATTTTAACATTGATGTTTTTACTACTCGACAGAGGTGGGGAGCCTTGGTCAGACACTGTTATGGTCACATTATATTCAGGGACATTTTCCCGGTCTAAGAAGTTTTCAGTCAGTATGGTGTAGTACCCTGTTAGAGAAGACTCAATTTTAAAAGGGACGTCATCGTTAATAGAACACTTGACAACACCGTTGCCCTCAGAGTCTTCATCCTTCACGTTAAAAACAGCTACAGTTGTACCTGGGGAAGAATCTTCAGGTATGGATTGAGAAAATGACATTACTTTAATAGTGGGGACATTGTCATTCTCATCAATTATGTTGATAAATACTTGACATGTATCTGTATAACCTCCGTGGTCACTTGCCTGGACATTTAATTCATAGCTCTTGGATTTCTCAAAATCTAATTTACCGCCAATTTTAATCTCCCCTGTTTTCATATTTACATTAAAAAGCTGCTCCTCCTCTTTTGTAAAATGGGGAATGGAGTAAGTGACGTCACCATTAAGGCCTGCATCAGCGTCTTTAGCACTAACAGCCGTGATCAATGTTCCCGTAGGTGAATTTTCGGGCACATCGACCTTATAAACAGATTGAGTGCACACTGGCGCGTTGTCATTTGCATCCAGCACAGAGATGTGAATTCTCACCGTCCCTGATCTATGTGGCTCACCACCATCTGAAGCAATCAACATAAGTGTGAGGCTTTCCTCTCTCTCTCGGTCTAAAGGCTTCTCCAAAATCATTTCAAGAACCTTTCTGTCATTTGGTTCGTTTTTTATTTCCAATTTAAAATTATCCGATGGTTTTAGTGCATATTTCTGAACATCATTAATACCAACATCAGGGTCGGCTGCATTTGCGAGAGAGAAGCGAGTGCCCGTTGTGACACTTTCGGCGATTTTCAAATTAATTTCAGACTGTGGGAATGAGGGACTGTTGTCATTAATGTCCTCGACCTCCACTGTTACGCGATAAAGATGAATTGGGTTTTCCAAAATGATGTCAAAACTGAAGCTGCAGGGCGTCGTCTTTCCACAAAGCTGCTCTCGGTCGATGCGCTCCTTCACGACAAGCGTGCCTTTGTCTCGCTTTAAATCAACATACTGTCGATCTTCGTTTGTGATAATCCGAGCTTTACCTGCTACGAGTCTGCCCAAATCCAAGCCCAAATCTCTCGCAATATTCCCAACAAAAGAGCCTTCCGCCTGCTCCTCCGGTATGGAATAGCGAGCCTGTCCACTCGCGGAGTGCAGCTCACAGAGACAAAGAATGACAAGCAGTGTGCGCCATCGGCCTCTGACGGCGCGCATCCATACGCAATCCATCGTGAATTTAAAAACAAATTCCAAGATTATTCCTTCAAATAAAACCGGCGAATCCACAGAAAGCGTGGCTCTTCAAAAGGCCAGCATGCAGACCGTCGTATTTCTCGGCAACGCAGTGCTTGAAGGAGTCCGAGAGGATGACAACAGCACACAATCGTTTCCCACGAATTCAATGACGTTGCACCAGCGGCGCCCAGAGCATTTTCACAGTAATGCAACCTGGTATGATTCGTGTTCAACAAAATTCATCCACCCATTCATTTTCGAACCCGCTCATCCTCACGAGGGTCGCGGGATTGCTTTACAAGCTTTCATCGAGCAGTAGGCAGGGGACACCCTCAATTGGTTGCCAGCAAATCGCAGGGCACACAAAGACGAACAACCATTTGCACTTTACTACAATAGCCAACCATGTGTGAATGACATGTACTTGGAGCGTGTCGGCCAATTGCATATGCGGTCCTCTTTTTTTAACCATGTTTTTACTGTATTTATAGCCTACTACATGTCACATCACCATTCCGAGAGACGGTGCAAACTAGCCCACTGCTGTAATCTGACATATTTACATGTAAGTGTGTATGTTTATGAATACGCACCGTCACTTTTTATTAAATAAATAAACCTAATAAACTAATGCATACATGAACGCGCGCACGCGCGCGCACACACACACACACACACACACACACACATTACGGTGCTGTACGAATGTAAACGTAGTATTTTTTTCATGTACATATAATATACATAGGGGCGGCCGGTAGTCCAGTGGTTAGCACGTCGACTTCACAGTGCAGAGGTACCGGGTTCGATTCCAGCTCCAGCCTCCCTGTGTGGAGTTTGCATGTTCTCCCTGGGCCTGCGTGGGTTTTCTCCGGGTACTCCGGTTTCCTCCCACAT